CTCTTCGGGCTCTTGTACACCTTTTTCTTGCTACGTGTGCGTGTTCTTTAGATCCTCAGATGGCTCCAGCACTTTCGTGACCACGGGCCGAGAGTCTTTGCTAGATTTTGGCATTTAGCAACTGGCATACGGTTTAATGTGAAGTCAACAACAACAACAACTGCTGTGTATAGCTCAAACCAACCAATCAAAGTGTTATCATCAGCAGTCACGCAGTACGTTGCACATCGCAGCGGTCAATCTTAGAAGAGGTGTCGTTACCAATGACCAATGACCAATGATAGTAGTTTTAATTGGACTCACAGGTACGATCGCAAGACAAGCATGTGTAGGTCGGAGTCACGTCGGCATTCATTCTACCATAGCTTTGAGGCACAGCGCTGCGCAAGAAAAAGAAAATAGCTAAAATGCGAAACAACTCGCTGGGCACCACTTGAATGAGTACGTAATGCTCCCAAGTGAGTTACATCGATTGTGTCACCGACTCTTCGACAAATGCCAACCTGGGGGGTTGGTTCGCTCAATGACACAAGGTCTTGAGGTCTTGACGCAGTAAACGTCAGCATGGGACTGCGGTGGGCTACAACCAAGGGAGCAGCAGCAGTCAGTAGCGCCACAAAGACACCGTGTTCAAACGCACCTCGTCATCCACCGCGGGAGAAGACTGCATCTTCAACCTTGATCTTCGATTGTGACAGCTGCCACGCGATAATCGTTGACGATGGCTCGTTGAGGTCGCCCGCTGCACCGCCGTGTCCTTGTTCTTCGGTGCTGCGGTGGTACGACATGCAGCAACTGCTGCTGGTGTCATGAAAGCCTTACAACTTGACAGCAACATCAGTGCCAGCACAGGAGTCAGAGTTGCAGACATTCTTACAGGCTTCATCGAGGACTGCATGTGTGTGTGTACAAGCCAGCACACGGCCGGAGGCGGAAGCTCCGCTTAGTGGTACACTCAGGCTTGTCGCTTGTCTGTCGCCTGTTGTCGCGCGGATGACCTGGGCGACCCCACAGCCAGGCCACACGTACGTATACGGATTTTGAACCAATTTCGATTTCTAAGCTGTGTGCCCCCCGATAAGTTGCCGCCTCTGACACCGTTGACCCCCCACCGCCTCACTGAAAAATCTATCCACAAAAGGTTCCTCTGCTCCTGTGCATCAGGCCTGGTCGCGTAGCCAGCGTCCCTCATTACACGACGGCTGATTCCAGACGGACGGCAGTAGAGACTCAGCCACCTCTGTAGTCCAGGCGCGCCGTCGGCCAACACTACAGGAGGAGCACCGTATTTGGCTATTAAAGGAAAGGTTCCGCTTTGCGCGGAAAGCGAGATAGATGACGCTCTCCTCTCCCACAACCACAGGCCTTCGGCTGCCGCCATGGGCTTGCTGCCTCGCTCTTGCTGGTCTTTCGCTACTCACGCGGAACATCCCTTCGTGCGCGGGCTTGGAGGTGCTTGAGACTGTAGTTGATCGCGATGGTGATGTTCTTGTGGTCGAGGATATTTTGGAGGGCTTTGGCAGGGTGCCCGTGTCGGTAGCCTTTTCGCCCACGACAACTCACATGTTCATCGGGTTCAAAGCCGGAGGAGTCCGGATATACCCTGATGGGGGAGACACCCTGGTGGCAGCCATCTACGACGACTGCGTGGACATGGAGGACGAGGTGAGATAGGCACTCTCGTTAGGGCTTGGTTTGTTCGTTAGTGTTTTGAAAAGATTGCATCGCATCGGATCGAACGAATCTGAAAAATCGCCGACACACCGGATAGGAGAGAAGACATGCTGTGCTTAGTGTGTGCACACGGAGTATCTTTGGTCGTGTTGAGAGAATTAAACGTTGAGAGATGGAGCGCAGTAACAAACGCAGAACGGTTGTTGTTGGCTAATAGAAGCATAATGAATGCACGCTTGGTTGGAAGATAAGACGAGCCACACGCAGGGGTGCTCTGCTGCAGCCGCAATCATCGCTTCTCCGCGTTGAGTCAGAATTTCTTCGTTTTTTGCTGTAGTTTTGGCAAAACACTGGTAAATATTACCGGACACAGGAAAAGTGAAAACGTTTAATGCCACGCAGCAGACAGGGCGCGGGAGCTTTTGTCAAGATGTGGTTTCCGCAACGGAAACTTTGAATTACGTATACGTGCATTAGTCTAGTAGCATGCATGTGCATGACATACAATACAACGTGAGGACTCTGTATTCTCTCTCTTGATTGCATCGAACATTACTTAGTCTACCAACCCTTACCCTAGTCTGCACATCCATCCAGAATACCTAGATCTAAAGGCGTGACACGTATTAATAGCTAGCATATCTACTGCTGCTCTAGCTGCCTCCCGTGCGTAATCGAGATTCGTTACAACCTGTCTACATACCTGTTAACCCCCCGCGACCTGCTTTTGTAGCCTATGACAAGCATGTTGAAAGACTGTTTGTCCACAGTCCTTGAGCAACGGAACGAAATGGACAGCAGTTCGGTCACCGTTTCAACAAACTTGGTCCAACCCCGAAGCCTCAGTGCTCTTGGAATGGATTTTCAGTTGCAAGTTGGAGGTTGTCTCTTGAGACGAGCAACGACTCTAAAATCCTCTCTGTTTCGCATGTGTATGACACGGCCTTCCTTGTTTGTCCTACGGTATATTCCTCTGGCGGTGTTGCGGTACGCAACAGGGACTTGGCGAACAACAGGAAAAAGGCAGAAAAACAGGCAAAAGATACCCCATACCCCGAATAGCAGGGTAGTGTTACCACGTCACTTTGCTATGGTGTGTCCATGCAGTATGACGCTGGTGGTGGCCGAGGACTCTCAAGAGCCGTGCCGACAATGAAGAGGGATCCGTATCCTAGTTCTGCTTTAACTGGTGCTCTTGTCTGAGCAGCGGTATTTTCATAACCTTGTCCTCAAATTTGCTTTGTTCCGTCAAGGTACATCAGTACGCTACACAGTCAGTAGTTGGAGCCTACGTTGGGCTAATCATTAGGTAGACATGTTTTGCTCGTCCTGTCAGAGCAGTAACTACTGCTGTCCTCTTGGTGTCAAATCATGCATGCAGCAGAGTAGTCTGTATTCAACTTCTACCCACAACCGGCAGAACACTGTGACCGACCTCACGATTCACAGCAGTCACAAACATCATCCATGGATTTTTCGTAGTCGTGAGTGTCTATTTCTTCACTATTGTAGTTTATTAGTTAAATGAAGTTCGATCTAACTCCGCTCTCCGTTTGAATGGTTGAATGGTTGCCGCAACCAACAGGTGTACGAGAACAATGATCTGGGCCTGCTGAACTTCCAGCTGCACCCGGACTGGCCCGCCACTCCCTACGGGTACATGCTCTACACGCATGACCCCGGGTAAGCACTTGGCATCGCTTCATTTCTTCATCACTACACAACGTGCGATGGTTATTTGTCTTTTTTTTTTTTTGGTCTTCACTTCCAATCAGCGCTCACAGCACTAGTGCCGTTTACTCCAACCCGTGGTCACACAGAAGAGCCCCTCTCTACCCTCCCCTCCTGCGGTACTTTGCCTTTGATTTTTAATGCGAGAAGAGTTCAGCACTCTCTTCCCTCTGTGTACACACGAACTAGCGCTATCCACCAGGCCAGAAGCGGAAGCGAGAGAAAAACCCACTTTGCAAGAAAAGCTCGCTTACGCCGGGATTCGAACCCCTGACCTGACCTGGTTATTTGTCTGGATTGTGATGAATCGGTCTCTGCTCCATTGGTGCAAGACCCCGTCAGAGTAGTATAATAGAGATGGCGTGCGGATGTTCCGTATTATGTGCGATACGAGTTCGAGTGCGTCCGTCGGTATTTGTGTTGTTTCTGAATGGGCACAGGCTAACGTGGTACCGCTACAGTTTCTTTCTTTTGGCAGCAGCAGTGCTCCGGTTATCACCCGCGCTCCTCTGCTCCCTCTCATGATGTAGTTGAGGCGCTTATGGTGCTTGTGGTGCTTGTGCGGGACGTCCTTCTCCCTGCAGGGCACGATGCGAGACATTGTAGACCACTATCATACGATGTAGAGTGGCTTTTCTTGTCTGCTTGCATCGATCTTGATGTTGATTCACCTGCACAGCAGTGCATAGGTTGAGATCAGTCACACGGGGTGCTGCGCACCAGGGATGCGCACTGCTGTACGTTACGTTTATTGTTTCCAAGTCCTTGGTCCTTGGTCCTTGGTCCTTGGTCGTGGCAGCCCGAAACGACTGAGAAAAACGCAAGCAACGTGATCTGTGATGTGCGATGGGATGCATGCCTGCAGTACGTGGCCATCTGCTGTTCTGCTGAAACAAAGGAACGGTAAACCTGGAGTGTAAATTACCAACGAGGGCGTTCGTCCATTGCTCAAGTTGCGCCGCTGCCACGGTTCGTGATGAAGCTGGCGAGACATCCTCTCGGAATGCTTGTGCCCACCTCCTTTCTTCCCTTGCCGCTGCCGCTGTGCTCTTGCCTAATCGACGATCGATTCCAAAAGGTACGGGGATGACTGCCTCGTGGAGCCCTTTTGGTGCGAAAAGGACCAACGTCTTGCGCGAGTGGAGGTTAATCTGAACGAGGCTACCCAAAGCGTTACGTGCGGCGCCCAAGAGATCCTCATCAACGATTGGTGCACGGGTTCCAACCACCACGGGGGAGGCGGCATGTCCTTCTTGAGCAACGGCGACATGGTGCTGACAGTGGGGGATATGTCCAAGGTGAGAAAGAGAACGCCACCGCCACCACGGCCATGTGTTTTCCTACATGTACCTCACGCGACAAAGCCGTGCAATGGACCTGACCGTGCGTCGTCATCGGTCTGCAACGATATGCATAGGATGCCGGCTTGTCGAACCCGACAGGAGCTTGGCGCCACGCAAGCGCGAAATTCTCTCGTAAATCCCCCCCGCCCCCCCTTTGTTCCACGGTGGTATGCGTATGACGGTTTGCAGCAGCCTGCCCGTGTCTCTACGTGTGTGTATTTCTCTCCGCCTCATGGCCGCGAAGGTGTCGAGTGTTGGAATCGACGAAAAAGTGCCTTGTTGCTCACAGTCAGGCTCACATATTTAATAGGCAAATGATAGTCAGGCTGTGGGTTTCCTCGTACCCAGTGCTTCGAGTTTATGCTGGCATGAACGTGGTGCTGAGTATCGTGCGTTTTTGCATGTTTTAGCGGTTGAACTGGTACTACCGGTGATTCTTTTGTAACATGAAAAAGCCTAGTGCTGTGTATAGACCGGATCGATTTTTTTTCGTGAAGACCACAAGAACAAGAACAATGACAATTGGCAGGCGGACCAGCGTGATCCGGGCGACCAGGAAGAGAACACGTGCTTGAGGGAGGACAGGGGCCTCCCGCAGGGGAACTTCCGCGCTCAGTTCGACGACTTCAACGAGGGGAAGCTGCTGCGAATATCGTCGGACGCCCTCGTTGCGGAGGCGACCGCAGATGCATCCACGACTGGCTTCCTCGTGCGCGACACCGACTTTTGGGTAAGCACACGCAGCCGTTGCCGATAAGCCATGGCAACGAGGATTGGAAGCTTTTTGTTGGGGTCGACGCAGACAGGGAACTGGTGTTGGGGTTCGCTTCAGCCCGCCTTGAAAAACCAGCACGGAGTGAATCGCTCCCTCAGCACCCGACGGTGCTGGTGAATTTGGCGCGCGTGATGCTAATTTCGTGTACGTGGGGCATGCTCGCTCTCTCACGGCGGCGCCATCACGTATCGTTGTGTGTAAGGCTGCGGTTGGTTGCCCTTTGTTTCACCCAGCTCCGATATTTTTGAAGGACGCACCAAGCCTGACTTTTGTCTGTACCCAGCCCCAATATATCTTGTTTTGAGTATACACCTTGCCAAACCGTGCACATGCTAACACTAATGTTGCCACTTTACCAGCTGATTGTATGATTAAAACGCCTCCTTTTTGTCCTGCTTGTTTTTCGCGCGGCAACAGCTTGAGGCCAAGGGTTTCCGTAACCCCTTCCGACTGGCCGTTTCTCCTGTGTCTGGTGATGTCATCATCGCGGACGTCGGGCTTGACTCGGCGGAGAGCATCAAGGTCGTGCCCAACCCCCTCGAGGCCGCGGAAACGGTCAGCATGCCCAACTATGGTTGGCCTTGCATCGAGGGGGACGCATGGATACCGCCCTATGCCGCCGAGTGAGTGGAGAAGACGAGAACAAGAGATCGAACTACCAGTTAGTTTACTGCTTCTGTTTGTTGTAATGGCTGTGGTGTTTCTATTGCGATCGTGAGGTGCAGGCAGTGAGTGCACTGCAGTGCAATGCAGTGTGGAGTAAGGGGAAGAAGTGGCATTCACAACTTCACAACCGCTCGTTGCCTTGTCTGTACCATGTTGTGCTCAAGACTCAATCTGGCTCTTCTCGTGGCACAATATGCTGCTATGCATATCATACGTACAATACATATATAGTCACATTGGGTGCACCCCTGATTTGCCGATTGCTCCACAAACGATCGTTCTCGAAGCGACGCTATCGTAGTCGCATAGACGCCTTTGTTGTGACCCCACCATGCATGTTGCTTTTCGATGACGTTTTGTGCCCGTTTTTTTTTCTCTTTGCTGGGAAGGAGATCTTATTTCTTTTTGTTTGTTCGAATCAAATTACATCCGAATATCGAGTCAGGGCGGCGATGGGTGTCTCTGTTGCTTGTACCATCGTAACCGAATCAAATTCACGTCAAATTACACTGAAGGTGGCTGGCGGACAACGAGAGCGACGCCTGCGATGATGTCCGTGACACCACCCTCGGTCTTCCTCTCGAAATCGACTACGACGCCTTGAAGACCAAGGCCTTGGCTGGACAAGTGGATTGGGTGCCGCCGGCCTACGTCTACCTCGACGGTATGTTCCGTCATATGTGGGTCGTTCCGTCATTCCGCGCTGAAAGCTGGGTTCCTGCGGGACATTCTGCCAAAACGAAGACGAAACGACTTGTCAACGAGAATGTGATGGCTTGTTGTGTGTACAGGGGTGTGCTTCCATTGGCTGTTGATGGTACAGTACTGCTGTATCACGTACAACTGTGAGCTTTGCTATGATGGCTGACTGACTTGCTGTATCGTTGTGGCTGCCATGGGCGGAAGGCGGAAGCTACAGCCTTGATCACCCCCGTGGTTGGCTTAACCTGTCAGGACACTTCAGTCCTGAAGGCTGCAGAGCGTGGGACCCGCCAAATGTCATCAACACGCGCCGTCCACATGCCGGTCATTTTCTCATTGTTTTGCAGCAGCAGCAGCCGCCGCCGCCGCCCCCGCGGCTACTGTCATGTTGTATGGTAGCCACCGTCTGTGCCGTTGGTGTTGCTACTATTGGAAGTACTATACCTCTCGCCATCGCCTTCGCATCCTCTCCCACTTGGTGCTAGCCGTTGACTTGACTTGACTTGGCTTGACTTGACCGCTAGGCACGATTGATGAGGAGTACCCGGAGTTCTGCGCCAACACCCAGTCGTCGGTGTCGGCGCTGCACGTCTACGAAGGCGGTCACCTCCCAGAGCGCTACCACAACAGGCTGTTTGTCGGTGATTACTCCAAGGTTTGTACAGACTGCCGCCATGCTCCTGCTGTGCTGTGCTGTGCTGCGTTGTGTTTTGTGTGTGCGTGCGTGCGTGCGCGTTTGCGTTGCGATCTTAGGCTTTCGCGGTGTGTCAAAAGCGAACGACGTTTCACCTCTCATTGATGCCATATATAACCGTCTTGTTGTCCACGCTAGCATATCTCGTAGCAGACAGACGTGTACGAGCACGTGTTCTGATAGGTGGATTGGTTACGAAATGCGTTGATAGAACACGGCGACTGCATAGATACTTGTACTGTCGAAACGGTGTCCACCAACAAACCAACAAGCAAAAACCTTGGTTGTAGAGCGCTCATTGCCTGTTAATGCAGCCCGCGGTAGTACATAGTTATACATAGTGGCCCGCCTTTGCTTCGCAGAACTGCTGATGTTGAGTCTCCGACGTTTTGTGGGGTGGTGCGCATACACCTTTTTTTTGTTCTGCCTCTTTTTCTATTTCTTTTTGGTGGTGCCCTTTGTTCTTTTTTTTGTGCATTTGTGTTCTCATCTGGTTGTTAGCCGTTGTTAACTCAACCTCCCGCATCCTCACGCTACATGTACGTGTGCATTTCTTCTTGCTCTCTCCTCGTCTTGTCTCAGGACTGCGCGTTCTACTTCGACATCGATGAGACGACCGGTGTGGTGGACTGGGCCACGCCTCACGTCCTCTTCGAGAACCGTGCCATCGTCGACTTCGCCACCGACCCCAAGACAGGTAGAGCAGTAGACGAAGTATAACACTGCAGTTGTATGCTGTCGTAGGTGTCGATCTTGTCTTGTCTATGTTGTCTATGTAGGCGTTGTTGTGTCACCTAGGCATTGGATTGTTTCCTTTCGCCATGCACGCTCTTGATCTGGCTTTTAGAGAGTTCAGTTTCGTGTCATGCGATTGGATGGGGCGGGAATTATTGTATGGCTGTATGGCTGTATGAAGGCTAATCAGGGGCGAGGCTTGAAACTACTCGTGGTGTTGATTTTCTGGGTGATCCGTGGTTTATTGTGTACTTCTAGCATGGGTTCAGGGGATGCCCGTTCACTCTGTTGCTGCTGCTGCTGGTGCTGCTTGTTCTTCTTCCTCTGTTGCTGTGTACAGGCATCATGTACGCGATTGACGCCAAGTTTTCCATCCTCATCAAGATCATGGCCATCGACGGACCCTTGACATCGGGAGGACCGACCATCGTACTCGAGGCCGATGCCCTCGAAGGCCCGGTAAGAAATGAAAGCAAAACACAAAACAGTACAGCAGGTGCCCTTAGTACCTATTATCGCTAGCTGCGGTAGGCTTAATATTGTGTGTGCGTCTCGAGCTCCCCAGTAGAACAGTAGAAGAAACATTGACCGTGGTGCCAAGTGTAGTTGGAATTCGAGTGAATGGAGCAGCTGCTGTTCTTGGACATTGAACGCGACCGCCGCTTTCCCTCACAGCATCACTCGTACCCCCTGTGTCCCTGTCCGCGTCCCCCCCTCCCCCAGTTGCCGCTTGATGTGACGATCGATGCCTCGGGGTCCTCGGACGCGGAGGGGATCGTTCTGTTGGAGTGGGACTGCGAAGGTGACGGGGTGTTCGAGGCCGAGAGCGACTGGACCGTGGCAAGCGCCAGAAACCACACGTGCACCTACACGGTCGACGGCACCTACGAGCCTTCGGTCCGAGCTACTAATGGCTTGGTGCGTGCGTGGCGTGGTGTTGGCTTGGCTTGGCTTGGCTTGGCTTGGCTTGGCTTGGCTTGGCTTGGGATGAGTCAGTCGTGGTCCGCGAACGGTATTCTATTGCATTGTGTAGGGGTCCTGGCTCCGTGAAACTAGATAACTAATGCAGACAGGGATATGTAAGTTGCCCTTGCCTTTGCCTTTGCCGCCTGGAAAAAGAAACGATAGTGCCTGTCGATGATCACGCGGCATACATACGACCGTCGGCAAATTGACACCCTATCTTTACGCTGCCGTGAGCCCACTGAGTTTTTGTGTAGTATTGCGGTGCGGGGAGCGGGGAGCGTGTTTGAACCCCTCAAGAGACGACGGCAGGTAAATCGCGTTGTGTGCCCCCTCTCCCCCCCCCTACAAGTACAGTTCCACCGCTAGGCCACCGATTCGGCTGTCAAAGTGGACGCACGGCAAGAGGGTCAAGGAAGGACGCTTGCTTGTCGACCCGTAAGATTGATACTCGATTGCACTGCCGTACAGTGCCAGTGCCAGCATGCACGAAACGATTGAAACTGTGCCATGGTTTCGTTACTTCAAACGTGCGCTGAAGTCAACAACCCTCGTACCTATTACACCCTTAACCCCCCCCCCCCCCCCCCCCCCCCCCCCCCCCCCCCCCCCCCCCCCCCCCCCCCCCC